CCCGCAAAAAAAATCCTGACCCTAATCACTTTCTATGTACAATTATCTACATTCTCATTCTATCTCCTCTCACCATATACACATTCATTGAATACTTGACAATATTAGGTCAATTCAATCTATGGTATATAGGATGAATGAATTGAAATCCGCTTCTTTGTAGTGGTAACACAGGACGTCGACAACAAATACCTAAAACATTACTGAAATCAACAAAGCTCTTAGTCGTTCGTGTGCTTCAGTCCCCGCGGGACAGATACAGGCAATTTTTATTTGTTTGAATAAATTCATTGTTTGAGAGAGTTGTCGGCGGTTGATGGAGTGTGGGTGATTGAGGGTGATCATATGGGTGCCTCAATTCGGAGGAGTCGAAGCTCGGGATCCCTAGTTTACGTCTGTTTAGTTTTTGTGACAGCGATATTGATCCTCCGCCTCCTGTATCGACCTTATACATTGCAGTGCTTTTTATTAGAAGTGTGCAGCAGTTCTCCGGTGGTGTGCTCAGGTATGCGTGCCTAGAAAAGATAAAACCAGTAATTGTTGAAGACCTCCGGAGTAAAAAACTATTTTTTATTTTCCGGAACTAAAAAATGGAGAAAAGCTGATTCATTAATCAATCTGAAAGTCAAATTCACAGGAAAATGAAAATGGCTAGCCAGGGCCCTGTAAACTGGTATGAACTGGGAGGAACTCGATGTATGGCCCACAAAGCAGACGGCCCATAAGGATAGCTTGATAAGGCCAGAAATGGATGTACATCATCTTTATTGACATTCAAAGCGGGAATGATCAGTAGCACTTTCACGAACATCAGTGTATGAATTTTTAAAACATCGTAGCGTGTGTTTGTCAGTGTCAATAGCCAGTCGCTACAGATTGGGGAAAGAGACGTCGGGCTATCTTAGGACTCTGAGTGTTACTGCAGTACACTTGTGTGTTTCCGTGGCATTTCAACTGCTGGGACATTTCCAGGCCACATGCAACACTGAGTATGGATTTTTGAATTGACTAGAAATATTAGTGATTGATATCATCTCAACAATAGGCATTCACGATTTGAATGCCCGACTATCAAGTGCCACTGGTAAATGGCCTTTCTGGGGTCAGTTTTTATAGGGTTCAAACAAATTCATTCAACTGTGGCATAATCATGAATATTCATGTTGTGCAGATAATGATTGTCAGTAGCCAGTGAAGGCATGTATGCATAATGCACTGCAGCTGATGAATAACGTGCGTTTCCATGTAAATCCTTTTGGAATGTCATACATGTTTACAAGTTTTTGTGTGGTTCGCAATCATCAGACATATCTACTGTCGATAAAGTTGCAAGTGCAATGTCTTAAAATGCAGGATTTATCTAACGAAATGGTCAGTTCTGTTTGAAGCTGATTGTGATGAGGCGGCAGACATCATAAAGTGTGATTACAGGTGTGCACAGGTATTAACGAAGACAAAGGTGTGCACAGGTATCAATGAATGGAGACACAGGTGTGCACAGGTATTAACTAAGACAAAGGTGTGCACAGGTATCAATGAATGGAGACACAGGTGTGCGCATATACAGTTATCGATGGAGACTGCACTTTAAAGATTAGCACACACAAGACATGCACTTGTGCTGTCTGGTTTCCGGTGAGGTCGCGTGTGTCAAACCCGTTCATGCATGTCATAACAAAAAGTCAGTAATTAGTTATGTCTGATTATTGATGATCGATCTGGATGCTGGTCGCTGGATTCTTTCAGTCTGTTACCTGAGGCGAAAAGGCTCTGTGATTACATAAAAAAGAGAGTTGACCGAGAAAATTGCCTGGAAAACAAGTGAACGAGAACATTATTGACTGTCATAATCATGCCCAACAGGAGGTCTTGGTCATGACACAAAGAGCTCAAATAATACCAGGTTGAATAAGTGCTTATCAAGAGGATCGTGCGAACATTCTACAAAAGAGCTCGGATATTAGAAAGAAGCTTGTTAAACTTTAATAGAAATGCTCATTCTCCATGCAGAGACCTTGTATATTACAGGCATTGTGTGAAAGAAGTTTTTAAAAAAAGCTCAACAGAAGAATTGTTTAAATCAAGATTGTACAAAAGCTTACCATAGAGCTTGTGTATTAGACCAAGGGCTTGTATAAGCCAGAAGTACAAATGGTCACCAGAAAGCTCGCATATTATACAGAAAGCTTGGATTGTATCAATTAGCATGCTCATCAAAATGCTTGGATCTTTAGACTGAAAGCTGGTGTTGTGTAAAAGAAGTTTGAACAAATGCTTATAAAAGGGATTATATATTAGACGTAAGAATTGTTTAAAAACAGTGATTTGGACACACCAGATCAATGCATGTATATTTTTATATATCTATCAGAGGAAAGTTTGAATAAAACGAAACATAGCGAAAACAAAAACCCATTGGTTGAGGAGATGATACAAAAACAAACTGCATTAGTATTCAAATCTTGCTAAACTTTTATGGTATTCAGACCTGGGTGGATCTTAATTGGTATAGACTCTGTTGAAGAATTTCTGGAACGCCGTCAGCCAACTGTTATAGATTCATTCTTCTGTTGTCCATAAAGGATTTTCCTTACTTCATGAAGATAAGGATAAATTATTTGGAGACCATTAGAGGCAGACACTGCATAACAGACACAATAATTGATGAAACAACATGAAGATGTCTACATGTTACAGGTAAATACATGTTTATACAGTAACTCTAACGACTTTCGTACAAGCCCAGCCTCTGCAGCGGGCCAGGTGTTTATCCATGTCGACATCAGCTACAGGGTCGGCTCAGGTGCGTGTTTAATGTCGGCTATTTTTGACGTATTCTGTCTGTGAATGATAACGCATGCGGGACACAACGCTCTGTGGTACAATCATCTCTGTATCTGGGATAATCTATTTGCAAAGTTTTGCATTTTGCTAGTTACAGCGGTATGTACAGTGACTTGGAAATATATTCCAAAATTGGAACACTTCATTATTGTACAAATCGTAAAATATTAGCTCAACATTTTATCCAATGGAGTACGTACTTGTATGCAAGATTTTACCTCATTAATTGACATTTTACCTGAGATGTTGAGCCTGACCTACAAAATGAGCTCCGTGTTTCCACCACCTTACTTGTGATTTTTTGTGTATTTGTGTTTTAAAATTTACCTGGGATTTTCGCCTCATCGACCAACAAATTTCTAGGGGAGGTGCTGAGATTTGTTAAACTGTAAAGGATTAATTTGCGATTTCAAGTGATTGGTAGTAGTTTTATATACTTTTTGATCGTCTGAGACGAACAGTGACGATAAAATCTATACTTACGGTCATTGCTTTGTGAACCCGAGACGCGATTCTGCAGGTCAGGTTTAACAGTCACAGATTTGCTAAGGAGACAAATGCTATAAATAAACCTATTAATGATTGCCTGTAGGAAGAAATTATCTTAAAAGAATACACCTACATATTTTAGAAGTTTCAAGCACAATGTTTTTGATGGTATGAAATTTTAAAAAAGTAATTTGTTTGAATTGCTAGAATAGTGTGTAAATGATCACACTGAAATTGCGGATATTAATTTTGCAGGAATTTTAAAGTTGTCATGACGATGTGAATGTCTTCATAATTATATTCTTGTAGGTCATCCGTAGCTAGGATAGACAGTTTAAAAATGTTCGCCTACATTTTATTCAAGGGTGCCTCGGTCATATGACACCCTTCTAGCCAATTAAGTTGACGGAATAACGTGACAATTCTGAAACAGTGTCTGGTCCCTCTGTTGTAAGGTTTCAGATTCACATCAATGTGATCTCAAGTCGAACAAATTTGTGAACCCTCGTGTTTCAGACAGGAATGAAAAGCCTAAGACTGAAATTATAGAATGTTTTGTCAAATATCCGTATAAAAATGCTAGTGTAAAAAAAAATATTATAGGGATTTTTCTACGCGTTCAATTTTTTTGTTGACTTTTTTTTGATTTCCTTTACATAAACAGGAACCGAGAAAACAATTTCCAGAAGGATTTGAATATTAAGGAAACTGATTACTTTACAATAGTTGGAGTCAACACAATATTTTGTCCTTAAATAACATTTCTAATGATTACCACAGGGACAAGGAATCTCAATGCATAACACTTTACCACATTCAGTGCTGATCAGATAATGCAAATCGTGTAATTTGGAAAAGGAGAAAATTAATTGTGCGTTGGAAGCCGATCATTGTGACTAAAGAGCTTGTGGTCATACCAATTACCGATCTTAACTTCTGGATTAGAATTAGGCCTCGAGTCACTTGCCGGTTAATCACCGAATTGATCTCGGAAACGGAGAAGATGGCGATGCTAAGTGGAGTTATATGTGCGAGACTGTCTATATAACATTACGTAATTAAGGATTCTGACCCCGATGTTTTCAGACAAATGTGAAGTTTATAAGTCGACGAGGGAGTCGCCGAAGAAATGGTTTATCCTATACCATGCTGTTTGTGTGTATTACTAAAAGACTAAATTTTGATGAGTCAGCAGTTTTTTTTATTCCTATGGTAAATAAATAGAAATGGTTGATTTTTGTGTATAAATCTTGAAGGTCAATTTTTCAGATTTTTTCACAAATGTGGTAGTTTTATTACTAATTAATCTCTCGAAAGATGTTTTCCTGTTTTACATATCGTACATTTATGGCAAGAACATCGAACATGCGACTAACTGAAATTAATTCTTCCGAATTCAGAAATTATCAAGAGAATTGTGTCAGTGGATCAGTGTAATTTGCATTGTTTACCAGGCGCATGGCTTTAATGAGATCATTTATAGCGTACATATTACCAGTGGATGAAGCACGAACATGTGATGTCAGGATACGGAAATGTCAGTGGCTTGTACATAGTCATGGTTGGCTAAGTGTTGGCTACAACAGAATCTGCCCATGTGTCGTTTAATGTTATGGCAGCAGTAAACGTCAGGATGAAGAAAGTGTTCAATGCTGTTAGCGGAGTTCGTCCGACAGCCCTGCAAGGGTCACAGGTAGCGAAAATCGAACGGGACATTGACAACTTTCTGGAGAATTTCCGACGTAAGTCGTCAGTGTTGGATGATTATAATCAGGCAGCCGGAGGACAGGTGGCCCCGTGTATGTATAGCTCGTCCCAATACTCTGGCTCTCAGTATTCCACCGACGACACGACGGACGACAGCCCAGATAGGGCATATTATTTGGGGCTCGGAAATGCACCCCCACGAGCTGGCCATCATCGTCAGCATAGCAACACAACGACAACCAGTGAATCGGAGTGGGGTCCTGATGCTGAAGATGATATTGAAATGAAAGAGAGGCTAGCAGAAATTAATAAACAGAAACTTGAGGCAGCCTATGCATTAAAACATGCACAACTTGAAGAACCTGGGAATGCCCCTCCTCCTCCAGGTAGGTAATAAACAACTTTGTTCAGAATGAGTAAAGTAAACTTGTACTCTTGAGCCCTAATTTTGTGACCGGCTTAATGGATAAGATAGAATCTTTAATCCTTTTGTGATGGAGAAATAGAATCTATTATCCTTGTCAGGAGAAATAGAATCTATTATCCTTGTGTGATGGAGAAATAGAATCTATTATCATTGGTGTGATTGAGAAATAAAATCTATTATCATTGGTGTGATGGAGAAATAGAATCTATTATCATTGGTGTGATTGAGAAATAGAATCCATTATCCTTGTGTGATGGAGAAATATAATCTATTATCATTGGTGTGATTGAGAAATATAATCTATTATCCTTGTGAGATGGAGAAATAGAATTTATTATCATTGGTGTGATTGAGAAATAGAATCTCTTATCCTTGTGTGATGGAGAAATAGAATCTCTTATCCTTGTGTGATGGAGAAATAGAATCTATTATCATTGTGTGATGGAGAAATAGAATCTATTACTGTAGTAATGGGAAAATATAATGATCAGCCATGCTTGAAAAAGAAATAGAATCTATTTTCCCTGTGAAATGGAGAAATTAAGAATCTATTTCCCTTGTGTGATTGAGAAACAGAATATATCACTCCTATTTGATGGAGAAATAGAATCTTTGCTACACTTATGTGATGGAAATCTTATAGAATCTATAACCAACTTGATTTGTAATGAAGAAATTTTCATACATGTACATGTGTATGCCTGTGAAAACAAGAAAATGACCATATGATGCCTGTTTAACTGAGAAATAGAATCTATCACTGCTGCATGGGGAAATAAACTTAAATCACCCCTAGCTGTGCCTCAGAGAAAAATATTTAAATATCACCAGCTGTGTGATGAAGAAATAAAATCAATCCTGTGTAACTCATTCACCCCTGAAATTTCACAATGAACCATACTTGCCATCTTTTTGAAATTTCCATGTGGAAAGATTACACATGCTCAGATAGAGTTAAAAGCATAACAAAATGTCTGTAGGTACACCCAAGGGGAAAAGCAACACTTTTAAATGGCATCTTTTAAGTTGTTATTTTCAGATAAAATCATTAGATGTTAGAATATAGAAATAGTTAAGCAAATTCACTGGTTGAAAATGCTCAATTTTACGGTCCAAAATCGGGAGAGCTGGCAAATATGATGAACTATACCAACTTTTAAATTGGAAGAGTTCAAATGTGTCTTCAGGGGTGAATGAGTTTTAATTGAAACACTAGTACTGCAGGCCTCAACCAGTTGGCGTACTGATGAATTTGATGTTCAGAACCTCAAGATTCATATGTACATGTGTTCTTCAATTTTAGTAATTCAAAAATTTCAACTACAAAATTACTGCCTTCATTATTATGCAAGGGAATGATGAAATTTTCTCCTAAACGTTCTACTTCTGAAATCACATAATAACATCAGCCATCAATACAGAGCAAGACCTGTACGGATTAGACAGAGAGGGTATATAAAAGATATAATTCTAAATTTTGATGTAATAATAATATACAATATTTGATATAGCGCCCCATCTAGCTAGAATAATTAAGTCACTCTTAAGCGCTATACAATTGATTTAATAAATACAATTATCATATATATCAATACAATTTTTTAGGAATTCGCAGGAGCTGCCTTATCGGGGGTTAAGTACTAGTCCTATGCCACCTGGCTAATATCTCCCTATGTATGTATGCCTGCATGTGTGCTGGAGATGTATTGTGTTCTGTTTGTAGTGGGACCGTGCTTCCAACGGTATCATTTATAGTGCCACCTCACTTGAATGCCACAGCACAGATACCGCAACATACACGTACCCCATACCATTTTATACTCCTCCTGGGTTGTTGGAGTGTGGGCAGGAGAAACACACTTTCTCTGAATATTCCATTTTACGACGACTTTGATGTACTGTTAATTTTGGGAATTATGATCAGTAAATAAACTTTAATCTGTAAAAAAATCAAAACATCAACTTCCTTTTTAGCTTAATAACAGTTGAAAATTGTAATTCATTACATAATGATAGCAGTGATCATGCAGTGAACAGGAATTGTTACCAATAATATTTATCACAAAATAAAAAAATAGTGTACATTTACTGGTTTTATTACAAAGTTATTGACTTCAGTGACTTTATGGATTAGCACCTATAGTACTAAATTAGTAAGTGCTGCAAATATAAGCTGATTGTTTTCATAATTAAACAGACAACAGTCTGTTGCCACGGAAACACATAATTTGACTCAGGACACAGTGAATTTATAATTGTCACTATTTCTATTTAAAAATATTTCAAGTTATGATATTAGAATGATAGGATTCCATCTAAACCAATGAAATCAAAGAAGTTGGTCACAGATGTAATAAAATTTCATATTGATTTTAACGAGGCAAATGAATAAAATTGTAACTGCGTCTGAAGAGATTAATAAACACTATAAAACTCTGTGCAATAATTTATATAATGAGGGTTCGATCAATTTTTGTTTGAAATACCATCATATAACAAACCACAAGGTCATCGTTTTGAAGTCACGTTAAATAAGATTGGCTGACATCAAATTAAACTCCTTCCTGGAGATCCAGGCGCTTGTGTCCTGGTCTTTTAAATGCTTTAATAGATGTGATTATTATAATTTGCATTCCATTTCTTGGTGCTGTGGTACTCGCAGCAATATGATGAATAATAATTGGACAATCCAGTCAGTGTTTCATTTGTGCCCCTTGGAGATATACAGATCAAATTATGGTATTTTGTTGTTGATTTAGGGGCAATGGATAAAAAAAAATGTGATTGTGTTGCCATGGAAACCTTGAGTACGCTTGAAAATTATGCTGATTGGTATCTATGGTAACTAGAGCTTTTCAAACAGTAATTGGAATGTTTGAAGCAGTAAAGCTATAGTGTAACGTTTATTGCTATTGTTATGGCACCTGTAGAGGGGCGTTAAGATGAAATCTAGATATGAACATATATAAATCTTAAGCTGATATCTTGAGCACACTTCCAAATAAGGGTATATAGATATAGACCATGTATGCAGTTTTTCTCTATCGTTTTTAATGTCACTATGGTAAAATATACCTTGGATATTTATATATACAGTATATATCTATATTGTTCACTATTTGGTACTTCAAAAGATCTCACTTGTTAATGGGACAATGATCAGAGGCTTACAACTATTGCTATATGGTGCCCATTTATCCAATTTAAAAAGAAGCGAGGTTTTTATCAACAAGTGATAAGAATGATTTGTGTTTCAGAGTTTTTGTTTTGTTTGCTTGTGTTTTACGTCCTATTAACAGCTATGGTCATTTAAGGGCGTGCCAGGTTTTGGTGGTGGAGGAAAGCTGGAGTTACCAGGGAAAAACCACCGACCTACAGCCAGTACCTTGCAACTGCCCCACGTAGGTCTAGTACCCGCGACCCAGTGTTGGAGGGCTAGTGGTAGCAGAATGTCAGACGCCTTAACCACTTGGCCACCGCGGCCACCCAGAGAAAATAATGTGCAGAGAAACCCTAAGGAATTTATTTCCGTGGGACTATAACCAGGGGTCATTATGCTCTCGTTTTAGAAAACAAATTGTTTCTCTAGTCTATAGCTACCCAAAAGTACATTTTGATTCCAACATATTTGGTAAAGTTACTATTGTTTGTCCTTGAACAAGACACTTATACATGAGTGCTGCTAAAGTTTACCCAGCTGTATAAAACAGGATATGAGTACTGGTCACCATGCTGGGAAGACCTTAATGCTGTGTTCTTGAACAAGACTCTATGGGACTATGACATAGACTAAAAATATTAAGGATCCTTGTCCCACTGCACTGTGGTTTTCTTATATACAGTAACCTCCCCTTATTTTATTTTTTTCAAAAAAGATGTAGCGAAGTTGAGCCAATACAATTCTGTTGACCAGGTTGCTCAGTCAATAAGAGTGACAGTATAACAATCCAGGGTCCTAGGTTTGAGTCCTAGTCCAGCCCTGCTTGTTTTTTTGATACTCAGAACACTTGTTGATACATGTAATATTTTGTTTATGTCACTTTATTTTTCTTAAAAGTCCCGCTAGGTATGATTTTCTTTTCAGAAATTAGTTTATCAAAGCTATATATGGTCATGCTGGAAAAGTAGTTTCCAATACTACGTTTCAGGTTTTTGTCAGTAGTACGAGGATCCTTAACTGATTCACCCCTGAAACTCTATAGTGAACTAATTTACCAAACTTTGAATTGGAAGAGTTCAAATGGGTCTTCAGGGGTGAATGAGTTAATCGAACATAAATGGAAGGACATTTAGAAGGAAATATTCAGATATTATAAAAAATAGAATAAAATTTCTTTTAAAAATTCTGAGCTAAAGTTGTCCAATTGTAGATAGCTTTAAATATATATACGTCTATAGGTTTGTTACAGTACACTGGATGCTGAGTGTCGAAGGAAAGCATGTGAGCTTAATTTTATATCGGGCAGCACAGCTGGCGAGAACTTGCGGTAAATTACTTATATATCTATGTGGATCATACAGATATATATGACTCATAGTTTTCAAAAGTCATCAACACAATCATTAAATCAATATATTTTTTTTATCATATCGACCATTCCTGTTTAAGGCCTCGAGCTCATTCAGTGCTGTTTTAAGACATTTTTGGGAGTCACATTATTTCAGATAATTGATGTCAATGAAATTGGTCCATAATTAATATAATTAACTCATTCACCCCTGAAGACACATTTGCACTCTTCCAAATCAAATGTTGGAATAGTTCATTTTGATATTTCAGGGGTGAATGAGTAAAAGATCTCCTTACTACTGCCAAAAAATGTAAGTTTTAATTGGAAACCTTTTAACCAGTTTGACGATAGCTTTATTAAATCATCTGTGAAAGAAATCCATACTTTGAAGAATTTATAAAAAAAGGTGAAATAATAAAAAAATCAAGATAACTATTTTCTAAGGATG